GACGTTGGACAAAACGCTCTTAATTAAACTTTAAAACGGTTAACCGTTTCAAAAACTGGGCGAGCGGTTTTAAATGACGATTTTGTCCTCCATTCCCGATCAAGAGTGAGTATCCGGTTTTCCTTGAAACAAAATTTCCTCAAAGTTCACCAAGCTATTATTAAGGCATTATCATATAAAAAGTTCACATTAAAATTAGCAAGTGATAGCATCCAACATCTATAAAACTTGAGGAAACACAACAACAACCTGACGGTAGGTCGGTACCACAAGAGAATTTTGGGTACCGAAAGTCAGACACACTGGCCATCTCCAATGCCACATCGATCACTGAAACCTCTATCTCACAATGAATGTAAAAAAGGCACCGGAAGAAGTGGAAAAATTCCAAAGGTGCCAGACCATCATCACCAATGCTGGCAAGGTAATTGTTACAGTGAGATAGTGGGCTAAATTCCGAATAGTGATAGGACTATATACCGGTCCTTGGTATCTGAGGAAACATCTGCATGAACTGGTGATATTCAATTATGACCCAATTTGTAGGTTATGCAATGAGGAGGAAGATACAGTCACTCATATCAATGGGAAGCAACCGCTAAATCGAGAAAACCTGATTTACCCAGAAGGAATAGTAGCAACGACAGTCGATGACCTAATACTTCTTAAAAGGATGACTAGCACTGAACTAAGGAATTAAGAAAAGTTCAATCGATCAAACCTTTGGACTACCTAATGTGGATATGTTGTAAACCACATCTCTGTAGAATTCAAAAATTCACTTGATGGTTTGACACAATGCACTGCCAAAACTATTACTAAAAATCGAATCTTCGCAGAAATAAGCTTCATTGGTGTCCTTTACATAAGGACAGAACAGCAGATACGATAGCTTTCAATGGGCGCCTTACGACATAACCTTGAAATCTCATCACTACATTGTCAATCATTAACTAACAATAAGTTTATTAAGTTTTAAAGAAGATTGTATGTTTTCTTAAGTACTCTTTACATGGTTAAAAAGGGAAATGTATGCTTTTATGCTTGACTAACGCTTATGTGATGTCCCGATGTTTCTTGGTATAGTATAAATTGGTTTAAAATACTGTTTTATTAGATTGAACAGCAAGTCGCTAGTGATTTGTTATAAACAAAAGAAATTATTGCGGTGCTAAGAACAATCGGCCCTTGCCAAATAGAACAAAAATCGGCAGAGGTGCAATAAAAACCATTACGGAGGAGAAGACAAATTGGATGGAAGCCGGCCAGAAGAAACGGCGTTTTCAATCTCGACTAACGTTTTTCTTCTCAAGACGTTCGGGGATAAAGTTTCACCTGGAAACTATCGGGAGGGAGACGATTGTCAATACGCGACTTTGTCGCAAGCTCGGCCGTTTGATCCCGGTCGGTCTGAAGAACAGATTTTCCTAAGAAGGTTCTAACCTCTGTGGTCAACGGGGTCAAATTACCTTGGTAGTGCGGTTAACATTTAACATTTCAAATAGAAAAGGCTCATTTTACTATTGGAGCCAAAATTTGGAAAATGAGAATATGTAATCGGTGACAGTTTGGTTAGCCTATTGATTACTGGTTCAATTGCAGGTACTTTAGATCAACGAAAAATACTTTAATATTTAATTTTGGAAATGTGTCTTTATTTAACTTTAAAAAGTCTTCCCTCGCAGGCTTGTAGACTAGGCTAAAAAATTTCATTTTCATATAAATTCCAATCCCTACGTACAATGTGTAATATAAAGCAAACTGATTGACATATGTCCTGGAAAAATTGAGCGTGCTCCCTTTATCGAAATCAGTTTTTTTCTCAACAAAATGGAAAATTTTTGGGCCTTTCTGAAGCGCAAGCCATAAACGTGGGTATACAGCTGAAAGGTAATAAGAATGGAGAATTTTTTAGAAAATTTGCAAAGTTCTAGGAGTTTGTACTTATTAACAGTTACCAATCCAACATTTTCAAAAAATTCCAAATTTCATCATATTTGTTTTTCTGAATTTTTCGTGCAGAATTTTTCATCAATTCTGTAATGTAAATAGGTTTTCTTGCAGTAAATTTAACGTTGTTTCGCGTGGCACAAACTAGATTTTTTTACAATAAGAATTTCTGGAGTTTATAAGCAATTTAGTGCACTTAAATCGAAAAATATAAAAAACCCAAAACCCGAAACTACTTCTTTACCGTTGAGATTTGGACAGGGGTTTATAGGAATTTTTTTGTTGCATATGGTGAGTAAAAGAGGTCAAAAACATTATCTATAACTAAAAGAACTTCAGCATCAGGAACACAGGTTCACGTAGCGCTCAATATGGTTCATTGAACAGTTTGATACCGTGAGGTCTCTATTAGTCCCAAGTCCTTGCGACAATGAAAGTTCTTAACTGCTGTTGTACCTGTCTAAATTATTTCTAATTTATATAAAATAAAGAAAATTTATTCTATATATTTTCCAACAAAATCTCTACATCTTTGCCAACGCGTAATAAGCGCGTTTATTCCGCTGACATAAAAATCTTTATTTCGATTCACAATAAAGTTTTCGAAGAGTTATCGGCTTCACCGCGTTCTCTCGTTATCCCTCAAGAAGTGATCAAAATGCTTCAAAAAGTGGAAGTCTGTAAACGAGAGGTCGGGTGCGGTACACCATCAAACCGTCACCATAAACATTTTTGGGTGCAGATTTGATTTCGGGACTTGTTTTGTCCAACCACTGACATATACGCCTCCTGCAAGCTGTTCTAGATGTTCAAGAATTTGAGAAATCCATATTTGTTAAAACTTCAACCAATCATTCTGTACATTCTGAAAAGTGTGAGGTAGGTAGTCTCTCCTAGCCTCGAAGAAACATCTTGAAGTCTGCGTATGTGCGTATATTCCATCCCATTTCCTAAGCTTTTTAATGCTTTTTTGAAAGGATTAACTTAAATAATTTGTCAGAGGTACAGTCCGGAATGAAGAATTTTATAAAAACACCTTTTCCATTTTTTTTGCGACGTTTCAACCTTTATTCGTGTCCTCTTCCGGGAACTACAAAAACATATGTTGATTGGAAAAAGATAATTACACAATGCAGATGTACTAAGTAATATAAATTTTGAACCAAGTATTTCATACATAAGTGTGGTGTTATTCTTGTGCTGTCATATTTGTTTCGTGTGAAATTTTTGTGAAACGTGAATTTGTATTCTATCGTTTTTATATGATTGTAGGGTGGGTACGCGATAAATCTGGAAAATTTTGTTTGATCATAGGCGGTTTTATTGGACTCAAAGGAGTCGAGAATGGGGATTTTCTGGATTGGATGTGTGATTCGGGGTTTATTCGATGGATTCAGTTATGGATGATAACGAAAGAAAGGGAAATATAAAAATAAAGTTTAATGGTTTATTTGTTTTATGATTTTGGCGTACCTACGGCCGCGTTTGCTTGTATCTGTTATGTAATTAATGCTGTGTGTATGACTCTGTTAATGTACACCATTTCCAGAAAATTTCATTTGTATTTGTTTTTTCTTCAGTTTTTAGTATTTGTATTTTGTCGAAATTAGAGTTGTGTTGTTTTTCAAAATTGTGTGTGGCCAATGCTGTGTGATTAGTTTTTGGTGTTTATAGATGTGTTGTCTTTTCCATTTTTCCAGTTATTGTATTATGCCAATAATAATAACAATTCCAGTGTATGTAGCTGGACAGTTCATACAATTAATTCGATAAATTACATCGGATTTTTAGGCTGTTGGTATTAAGCCTTTGACTTTGTAAAAATGTATGTATACTATTTTGTGGTTTTTGAAGGCCATTTTAATGTGTGATCCGAAGAGAAATGTACTTAATTTGTGTGACAATGTGTGAACGAATGGAATTGACATGTATATTGATTTGTCATTGTGTAATTCGGGTGATGGTGTCAAAGTTAAAAGGATTTAATTTCAAGTTAGAAACGGTCAATTTGCAATTAAAAAACGTTAATACAAAATTAAAAAGGGATTAAAAGGGAAAAAATTATTTATAAATTCGAAAGGTTTAAGTTGTGGGGGAATGAGTAATTTCACGGAGAAAAGTCAATCCGTCAAGTATCCGTCACGCTAGCGGTTCTGGGTTCGAATCTCGACATAACCCTGGCTTTTTAATCGATAATGGCGTAAAAAATATTTTGTGAAGCGGTTTGAACCCACGAATGGGTAATTGGACGTTAATCCCTCCTGTAACAAATGAATTATTTTCCTATAATTTACTTAATTGCTAGCTGGTTGGAAAGGGTTGTTTTGGTCCGGGGGTTGTTAAAGCGCGATTTAAAGGAAAAAATCCTCTTGTTTTACAAGGAAAGCCTACAAAAAAGTCCTGCGATTCATATGAAAATGTGAGCACAATTTAGAAGACTTTTAAACCGTTTAAAACTAAAAAGTTGCACAAATACAATCGTTGCAATTCCAAATCAGCATAAAATTATTGCAATGTAACAAAAAATGTAAAATAAAACTAAACCGTTTTAAACTGAATCTAAAAATCGAAATAAGTACATTTTTAAATAGGACTTTTAGCACCCACACATAAAGGAGTAAAGAAAAAACAATGAGGGATGAGCCATTTAGAAAGAAAACGCTTAATCTCTTCGTCAAGCTTTCGAGTAATAAATCTCCTTTTTTCAGGATTTTAAAAATGTAATTCTTATTATGAAAAGTTAAAAATACAATTATTAACTTAGGTTTTAAGTACAAAGCAATTAAATATTGAGATAATTTAGCACCACATCGATGACCAGTATTTTCTTTCGAATTAGTCTCACTTTTTATAGTTATTTAATATATAATTATAATTTTACAGGACGAACATTAATTATATCACATATTGTAATCTAGTTGTTATAACATAAGACAACAAATGACCAAACTTTCGTACTGATTTGTGGATTTGATCTGGCATGATCGGCCAAAAATGCATTTTCCCTTTCACTAAAATTCGATATTAATTTGTGCTATTTTTTGTTGCAGTTCCTCCTGACATTATTGATTCCGAGACGAGCTCTGACACGGTGGTTGAAGAAGGCGAAAACGTGACGCTGATATGCAAAGCGAGGGGTCACCCGGCCCCCAGAATAATCTGGAGGCGGGAGGACACCAAAACTTTCACCGTTTACAACAACACATCCGGCTTCGCCACGGGTACAATTCAAAATTATTCAGCATATTAAATTAGGCCAAATATTGCCAGTGTTGTCTTCGTTTTCTGAAATCTTCCGGACTCACGAAGCGGACGGTTTTAACTATTCAACAAACCCAAAGACTAATCAATAAAACGAATAAATGACCTTAAGTACTTGCTTGCTTTATCCAGTTTAAAACGTTAGAATGGAAAACAAAGTAACATTATTAATTAAAATGGCTATAATACTCGGTGGTCTAGTCCTTCTTCGGGTGATAAAATATAGAACTAATTGCCACATAAATGTAAAAAAATTTAAAAAAGAGAAGAACTGCTTCGTCAGCAAAATATGCCCCTGGAACTTCTTTACATAGACATTTATGTTGGGAATACACTTGCGAGCCGAGCGACTGACACTAATGCTGGTTTTTCAGTGTGTACGTGCCCCTGAGGAAACCCAAATGTGCTGTAGGTTTAAACGGCCAAACGTGGTCGTGTGACGATGTATTAACGCTATTAGAAACATATCGCACCTATTCTATGTTATGGGCTCGGAAAATCCTGAGCAGAGATAGGAGAGGGAAAATATGTTTCCTGTGTAGTAATTTTGGGAGCTGTTGCTGTCAGTAATTTCCAAAATCATATGTGACAGTCTTGTACAAATTTTATACTGTACGCTAATGCTTTGGAAGTTCATGTCCAACATACATTCCGTTTCTTATATATCCCCACGTCAAAACGAAGACGTTGCTTTTCTTATAAAAAAATGGCAATTAACATAACTACGTAACTTTCTACCAATGCAATAAACAAAATTTCTTGTTCAGACATAGTCTGTTAACTAAATTGTATACTATGTTTACTCTGCTCGCGATCAAATCGGCGTAATTCTCTTGGCTTGGGCATCCATTTTTTTCGTGAGCATATTTATGGGCAAGTTTATGGCCTAGAATCGACAGGTTTTGGTGATTTTAATGCTTGAAAGAGAATGTTATTAAGGCTGTTTTTATATTTTAATGCTAATATAATAATACTATTTTTTATTGGAAAAAATATTCAGTCAGGCCGGCGCCACACTAGACGGAATGCGACGAAAAATCCGTTCAACCCGAACAAGCCACATATAAAGCAGAATGAAAGGAATGTCTTCAACGTTTGTATGGATATGCAATTGATAACGTGACTCAGTTGATCGTGTACGATACAATGAAACAACTTTTGATTTTGTGTATTTACAAGGTAAAGGAGAAGCAGAAGAGAAAGAGAAAACATTGGATTCATCCATTGAATATGAAAAAGGTAGCACTTGACCAATTACACTGACAGTATGGAGAACTTTGGCGCTATCCTGCCAAGTTCTTCCAATACTGTGGGATGACTGTAGCTTCATTTGACGAGCGTCTTTAAAATTCCACAGACAGGGCCTGTTCTGAACTTCCACAATAAATTGGTCCAAGTCCATCATAGATCAGCTTCAATTGCAGTTTTGCGTGTCCGACTGCCCACCTCTTCCGTTCTTAGCTTGTCTGTCGTCAGTGTGGCGCACCCCAACTACTTTGCACTGTTTTGATCTTTTTAGACGAAACTCAGCGGAACATTCCATCGACGGACTTTGGTGCACCAACGGAATTTCCGTCCAGTCTTCGCTGACTGTGTGTTTTGAATGTATGCTTGTGCAGCGGAAATTTCCGTCGCGAAAACTTCCGTCGCATTCCGTCTAGTGTGGCGCCGGCTTTAAACTTATTCGGTTAGATGATTTATACTAAATATCGTGTACAAAAGGTAAACCTCTGTAAATCTCGAATACTTCAGGACTAAATGGAACCCTGATAACATTTTTTCATGTGACAATTCTTTGTTCATTTAACTTACTGACTAACCCTGTAGGCAAATCAAACTATCTTTGGCTAAAGGTTCTACATTTTCACTGGATTGCTGGAACAGTAAATTTGAATTGTTTAAAGGTGAATTGTTATATGGATGTTCAATGGGATTGAACGAATGTAAAGAAGGTTTTTATGTAAAAAATATATACTTAATGCGATCAGATGCAATACGATTTTTGACTTTGCTACATATATCCTGAGAGGAGCCAGCAACCATTATTGCTGTCCCAGTATTCTGAATAGTTACATACAACTGTTAAAGAGGTCCCAGGGTCATCAATTCAGTCTGACAAATTTGTAAAAGTGAGTAATGTATGACTTGGATCGGGCTAAAGGGTCGATGTGAAGATAGCCTTCCGTTGAACATGGAAAATTTTTTGGGTATAAAGTTTTTAATGCAGGGTGTTTGTAGATCATTGTGAATCCTCGTTCCCGACAGTAGTATTAGTGTTGGAAACGTTGAGGAACGAAAGGGCACAAGGTATATGGAAGGACACGTTTTAGTTGGAGGCCCTTATACCAAAGGCGATCGAACAATTGTGACACGTCATAAAAGGCCCCAGGCACTATTGTTTACACTCAAGGAATGAGGATATATGGTCCACACCGCGCAGCACCGTGGGTCGTGGAATATCGATGACGAAAGCGGACTTTACTTAAAGTTGAAAGATTTGCTTTAATAATATCCTCAGAAGTGATATTTTAGAATAATTGACACAATTCAATTGGTGTATACACTGATAATTAAACACTGAGTAAAATTCAAATTCCATATTACAAATTGGATAACTTTATTGCTCTACTCATCCTGTAGAACCCACGACCTTCCGCTCAATAAGGCGCGCTCTTGCCACTTGAGCTATTGTGACTTCAGCTCAAGTGGCTAGAGCAACGGCGTATTGAGCCGAAGGTCATGGGTTCGAAGAATAAGCCGAATATTTTTAGAAGCAAAAAACATAGATTGATTCATACTATACTACCACATACTGATTTTTCATACAATACACAATAGGAATGAGAAACTTTATATTTAGATTATTCTTTGTATGTAAGGTCTTGGTTGAAATGAAAAAGTTAGTGTCATGAACGGGTTTCGAACCCATGACCTCCGGCTCAATATGCCGTTGCTCTAGCCACTGGAGCAGAAGTCACAATAGCTCAAGTGGTAAGAGCGCGGGTTATTGAGCCGAAGGTCGTGCGTTCGAATCCGCTCGTGGCTCTAACCATTTCATTTCAACCAAGATCTTACGTAAAAGGGTAATTAATTAAAAGACGTAATTTGGTCAATAGACCAGTAAACATAATGGATTTATACTTAGACATACTCTTTTTCTTTTATAAAAGCTCATGAATTTCTGATCGCGTTTAATTTGGTTTACATTAAAATAAGTATGTCGTAACTACAATAATATAACGGTAAAAATTACATGTAGTTTGAAAAATACAAAATATGAGTGTTCATTTTTTTCCCTTTTTCTAGGAGTATATACATTTTTACTTTTCCTGTTAAATATTAGTTCAGAGAAGGGTTGTCCAATTATCTGGGTTTTAATTAATATTCATTAAAATTCACCCAATCAATTTACTGTTGGCATTCTGGCAACCATACGTCAAATTCTCGCCCCTCCTTTTGTTCTGAATAACCAGTTTTACAGAATTGAATTAAAAACCATAGCGGCTTTAAAAAAGAAAACCTAGAAAAAAAAACTTTAGGGTTTAATTTATGAGAGAAACGAGAAAAAAAAGCTTCCCCTCACTGTAAAATTTAAGCCCCTCAGAAGGGTGGTGAAAGAAAAAACCTTAATTAGCAAAGAATGTCCTTAATTAGTAGGTATGGAAACGCGCTGGACAAGGACCTCTGATGTTATCTAATACTACAAATTACAGAACGAGTAAAAGTATAGTTAGTAAATAATTAACGGATGACTTATTCTCTCTAAAACTGTTAAACATTAGTTGAAGTAATACACTTTATGCCTTTTATCATGATCTTTACTACTGCAGTTTTCGCAGCAAGCAAATGAAATAACAGAGTGACAATTTAGCGTGTTACACTTGAACGGAGAAATCACCCAGCAGTGACACTCCCTCACATTGACTCAATCAATTTCTCAAGTGATCTCTCACAACCGCTTCAAACGACATGTTGGATTTCAAAGAATTTTGGGGCGAGAAAGGAGTTGGGCAAGTGGATTAGGGTGAAGGTTTAAATTTTTCTGGAAGTTTTTGTATCGGTATTTAATAATGTCAATTACAAATGGGTCGTTGTGAATTGTTGGGTTTGGAAAGTAGAAGAATTATAATGTGTTATAATTTTTGATCGGATGGATTGGATTTTGAAGGAATTAATTTTTTTCTTTGAATCCCAAATTTCAATTCCGTATGTCCACATCGGTCTCAGGAGTGCCTTGTAAATAAGCGGTGGGTTTGTTAGTAAGTTGTAAGTTCTATGATCAAGTAATCTAAGGAGTAGTTTGTAACGTCGGTTAGTTTTCTGTCTTTTCAATCGCGTATGAAGATTCCACGTTAGTTTGTTTTGAAATATAGTCCACGTAGTGCACAATATATGCGGGTGGAATGGGTTTTCCATTGAAACATCGTAGGACAAGTGAATTTTCGGAGCGTAAAGGTGATGTAAGTAGATTTAAATTCGTTAATTTTTATTCAACATATCAAGACTGTATAAGGTGTAAATGGGGTGTTATAACTAGCTAGGGAAGGATCAGAATTAGATGACAAAGAGTCGTGTCATCACAAAGAGCATATTGTATTGATAGGGAAAACTGGAATGTCGGCTGTGTATATTGTGAATAGAAAGGGTCATAGGATGCTGCCCTGGGACACACCCGCTTTAATAGGTATGTAAGATGGGTAAGGTAAAAAAGGGCAGTTGACTGGTACCGAATGAACTGACTAATGTGTGAGAATCCATGTGATTTGGTCAAAAGCTACAATAATTTTGCAGAAGTTTCCTGAAGTATGGCAGAATATTGGTTTTGCCAAGAAAAAGAGGGAAGAAAGGAAATGTTACTGAGAAAGGTAGAGAAGGAAAACTTTTTCCTCACTGAAGAAAAAGCTAAGTCCTGCAAATATAACTGAGTAGCTGAAAAAAAGCCTGATAGGTAGTGAGCAAT